ATCTGTCCATCTGGGATTCCGAAAATTGTTTACATGTTTTGGGTTTTTGATTGAAGTTGAATTTTTGATATCTTGTTTTAGGCTTCTTGAGGAGTGTTGAGAAATTTATTTCACTCAAAAACTCGAAGGATTGAATTTTATATGGATTTTTGAATTTGCCTTGTCAATTCTGGAATTTTCGTTTTCTGCAGAGCATGTATTTTCGGAAAATGATTTGATGCATCTATTCTTATCCAAATTGAGTGATTTTAAATTCTGGTGAATCATATATGTGTCTAGTTTAATTATGGAGAGTTTTTTGAGGTTTAGATTAAGGGTTGAATTGTTATGAATTTTAAAAATTAGTAACCTCAATTCTGGAAACAGTTATTGATTCTAGAATGACTTAAGAAAATTGTGTTTTAAATAGTTATTGATTCTAGAATGACTTAAGAAAATTATGGGAACAACTCATGTGTCTCTATAAGGCCCCATAAAAATTATGGCTTAAAATAACGAAGAGAATGTTTATGAAAAATCCAAGAGTGACCAATGTTCGGTTATGAGACAGTTTTGTTAAAGAAGAAGCTAGGTTAATCTTTTGGCGTATGAAGTGCCCAATGAATTTAATAATGAGGTGTTACCTTAGGGGACTTACATATGGAGGATTTATTGGATTTTGTATATAGGGAGGCAAGCGGGGGCATTGTTAGAGGATTTCAATCTTTTTTGACTTAAGGGTCAAGCTCCAAAATGGTGAGTGAAAAATCCAAACCCTAATTTTCATTTTGAATTAATTGTTTGTTATAAACTTCAAATGAGTTGTTTTGGTTTACTATTTGTCATAATTTAGTGATTTACTTTATATAAATATGATTCATTGCTAATGTTATTGGTTTACATGAGAAATTGAGTATTTTTTTGGAAAATTGTTGTTCATAATATAAAAATTGGGCTAAGGTGTTATTATGAAATCATGTTAAAAACTTGCATTTTAGCCTTATACTACACATGAGAATTTAATGTTATGTTATATGTTTTCTTGATGAATGAAGGCATGAGATTTATGTAAAATGGTGAGTTAAAGGTATGTATATTGATAATAGTAGTTTTCAAACCACCATATATAGTACTCATCCCCCTCATGATATTGAATTGATTCTACGCATGCATATGACATGATTTTGCTGGCCCAAGTGGGTCGAAGGCCTGAGCGAGGTAGATATCACTACACATGATTTTGCCGGCCCAAGTGGGTTGAAGGCCCGAGCGAGGCAGATATCGCTACACATGATTTTGTCGGCCCAAATGGGTCGAAGGCCCAAGCGAGACAGATATCACTACACATGATTTTGCCAACCCAAGTGGGTCGAAGGCCCGAGAGAGGCAGATATCGCTACACATGATTTTACTGGCCTAAGTGGGTCGAAGGCTCAAGCGAGGCAGATATCGCTACACATGATTTTGTCAGCCCAAGTAGGTCAAAGGCCCGAGCGAGGCAAATATCGCTACACATGATTTTGCCGGCCCAAGTGGGTCGAAGTCCCAAGCAAGGCAAATATAGATACTCAGGATATTGCCAACCCAAGTTCGAAGGCCCGAGTGAGGCAGATATCGCTACACATGATTTTGCCGGCCCAAGTGGATCAAAAGCCCGAGCGAGGCAGATATCGCTAGACAGGATATGATTGTGCTGACCCGGGTGATGCATGGTCTCGCTGGGTCGAAGGCTTGAGCGGTGACCAATTTTGCCTAGCAAGATGGATCTAGTGATTCAACCCGCGTGATGTTAGATCTTGTCGGGTTGGACGGATTTACCCCTGGGTACTAGTTGGATGAGAGTTTTTACATGTGATTGAGAGATGGTTTGGATATGTATATGCATATCATGAAATTAAAATTGAAATTTATAAATGCAAGTGCTATTTATATATGAAATGTTTTCAAAAATAAGATTTTTTAGAGAAAATGAGTATTGATTTGTTACCATAAAAGTTTTCAAAAAGAAGTCTTTGCAGTGAGAGATTTCAGCATTGGTTATGAAAAATGGTTTATATTATAAGATGTGTTTATGAAAATGAGATTTTATAAGCATGAATGTTTTTATTGTATATTGAAATATTTTATTGCATACTAACCTTCACTGAGCATTATAGCTCACCCCTTGTTTTTAAATGTTTTTCTTTTCCACCCCCATCAGGTCAAGAAGAAGATCGTGCAAAAGAGTGAGTCTCACTCAAGGTTGAGCCACACGATTTCATTTCATCATATATGTCATAGTTTTGTTTTATTTTCCACTGCAAAGTTTATGTTTATTCATCATGTATTTATTTCAAGTTTTGGATGGTAAAAGATATATATATATATATATATAACTGATACTATACGCTTCATTTGGTAAAAATTCAGTTGCATTTGTTTATTTACAAATGATGTTATAATTATTTGTGAGAAACAAAAATGACTGCCAATAATTTTTTTTAGCTAGAAGAGTTTTATGATGTTTTAATTCATAAACAAGTTTTATAGTTTTCTCACATAGCACATCTCGGCCACCTGAGTCTCATGGGTGTGCCCGAAACCTATGGGATAGGGAGGGTCGGGATGGGTAATGTCATGTCATTTAATATCAAGATGATATAGATTGGTCGAAGGTCTCATCTTGGAAGGCAACTCCAATAGATGAGATCAAGCTTTTAGTAGCAAAGTTTGCAAGTTAAGTAATGAGCTTGTTGACTCATGCAAACTTTTGATCATAGTATTTGACAAATCGAGATACTTTAGATGTATCAAGCCTTCAACTGAATTCGGTAAATGAGTGAGGTAGTATCTTTCTAAAGATAACACTCTTAACTTCTTCAAATGCGACAATGAATTAAAAATAATTGTAGCATCTATGTAGATAGGGCCAACCCGGCTGTAAGGACTCATAAATACTGGAAAGAATGTTCTTAGACTTTTCAATTTTTGCAAGTCCTTGAACATATTTTTTCCATCATATTTTTTAGAAATATAAGAAAAATGACGAGTCCTTTCAAATTTTTCTGGTACCATAGAATTGGCTTCCTCAAATCTAAAGTCAATTTCTCCACAAACTGATTGTCTAGATCATGAACAAGGTTATGCATCAATATTTAAAATTATTGCTACTTGATTTTTGAAAAAATGACCTTGAACATAAATGATGAAAATACTCACTAGCCAAATTCAGGCGCTTATCTGATTGTTGAATAATGCCTCTTCCCATCCACAAAAGCTCAAGTTCCTTTTGATCGAACTCATAATCTTTTGGAAAAATTGCACAATGAACAAAACATCTTTTAAGATGTGGAGGAAGATGGAGGTAACTTAACCTTAACACGGGAAGGATGTCATTTCCGTTAGTTGAATCCCATACTCTACTCCTTAATATGTTCTCCCATGCATCAACTTTCAACTCAAAGTGTAGAATGTTAGAGTAGATGTCCTAGAACCAATCAATTATTGTAGAATTGACTCTTTGTAATAATGTTCATTAATCAATAAAAGGTATTTTATTCTATATCGCTTAAATCATTATTATTGCAATATGTATTGATATATGTTCTTAGAATGGTAAAACCGTGACGAGGGTATCAAGTGTTTCAAATCTTGATAATGAGAACCCTATGAGCACATATGGTGGCCATTCTAGAAACATCCATAGCCTCAGTATTATTCTGAAGTAAGGGCACAGAGAATACGGTAAGGCTATCATAGTGTTGAACGACCCTGTCGAAAGGCAGTGACTGATCTCACTTGTCAAGGTTGTTTGGTGACAGCCTAGTGCAACAAATGGGTGCTTGCTATAGGCGAATACACCGTAGCAAGTTCACTGGACTGTCCCACTAGAGGATTCCATATGGACAGTAACCCCAGTGTCTATGGAACAAATCCTCTAACAAATGGTGATGCATGTGATCCTTAGACTTGAGATCACCGAAGCACCTTGTGCACTAATTGGTGCAGTTTAACACTAGCCTAATGCAGTTCTATTCAGAGCTGTCAATACGGTGGTGATTGGCTGCATCGAGGAGTATATCAAGACTATGGTGGATAGACAAAGAATTCATCACTCCTGGGTACGGGAGAAGTTATCTCACAGCACAATTCAATATATGGCAATGACACTAAAACTGTGGCCACAGTGGGATTGAGTTGTTGCTCTATCTAAGTTATAATATAGGTCATTGGTCCAGAAACTAAATACATAATATCGAGAGTAATCAAAGGTTGACACTATTTCTATGCTTTCGTCTCGTCGAGATAACGTATGATGAAAGGATCGAATTGTACGGTAACCATATCGTTGACAGGTAGCTACTTTGCTGAATCCGAATCTATCGGGTGATCATGATGTCTTGCTAAGGGTCAATCTTGGTCTGTGTATAGTGAGACGATTAATTGATGTTAATCGAGATACTATACACTGCCGGTATGATGAGGAGTCTATGGGTCACACACATAGAAGATAATTTAAGAGCTAGGAAGTTAGAAGGGTGTTTTCGTCTTTTTAGGCAAAAGGGTATTTTGGTAATTTCATAGTGCAATTAAATTTGCTAAGGTCGTAGCCTTTATTTAGTTTATTAGAAAAATTAAATAAATGAAATTACGTTTAAATATGTGTTCGTATATATTTAAACGTAGCCTTTATTTCACTCTCACACGCTAGTTTTGGGTTTTGATTAAAAATCAAAATATTCTTCATTCTTCTTTGTTTCTTAAGACCAAGGAAGATCTAGTAAATCCTTCTTTAGTTTCTTGAGATTATCTTTATGTGGACTACGTCGGTTCGATCCTACACTTAGGTCGGTAGCAAAATACGTTCAGAAACAACTTGGAGGAGCCTCCAAACATGCGTATGATTTCTTAAATCTTAAATTGATTTTTCTGCAGATTAAATATATATTGTATAAACTGTAAATTTGTACTTGGATCTTGATTCTAAGGAACGATCCATATTGTTTATATTTTTGTTTTCTGCTGCAGAAATGGGTCGTTTACTAACATAGAAGACCACCTAGAGTCTTTGCTGCTAGGGGCAATCCTCCACTCTTTTTAACAATGATTTCACGAAATTTTCCAAGAGCATCAATATCCATAGCAGTCGAAGGTGCATGCTCCAAGAACAAATTCCAACATTCTTCATCTGACAGACCCTTTAATTTATGAGTTTCAAAGGATCTCATCGTTAATGCAACATTTTCAATATGTGTAGTCACAATTATTTTACTTCCTTGTGCACTATCCTTGAATGGAGACTTGAAAGTTTCCCACAAGCTATAATTCTCGTTCCAAACATCATCCAAGACCAGCAGGAATTTTCTTCCACGTATTTCCACTTTCAACTTGTCTTGTACTTCGTTTAAACTATTTAGATTGCTAGATGAGTGATTTATTGACTCGAGAACTGACTTCAAGATTCTCATAACATCAAAATCGTCTGAGACAGAACCCATGCTTTTTTCGCGAACTTGAGATGATCCAATTCCTTGTCATTGTACACCTCCCAGGCAAGTGTTGTTTTGCCAAGTCCTCTCATACCCACAATTGCTATCACACCAAAGCTGGTATCAATCAGTTTATCACTTGACACCATCTTAAGTATTTCTTTTTTTTTCTTCACTCTTTCTTTATAGAGCTCTTCGAATCTGCCATTGATATCTTTCATCTTGGATCGCGTACTGACATCAAACTTTATAGCGCGAGGAGTGAAAGTATTGAAACAAGAAGGGATATTAATGGAGTTTTGCCGTGAAACTTCGTAGGAAAACTCTTCCGATAAATCCTCTACATCATAAGCCAAGTCTTGGAGATCATCGGGCCACAGTGTTACGGCCTTGTTGGTTAGTTGCTTCTCTTCCGCAGAGCTGAGCACTATCTCAATCTTCAGTAACTTCCTTTCCCACTTCTTCAGCTTTGAACGAACCCCTTCTTCGCTTGCAAAATAATTGAACAACTTAGGGGACGGCAGTTTTTCAAACAACAAAGAAAGGGTTGCAGAGAGCAAAAGTTAAACCATGGTTTTGGTTATCAAAAGAAAAGATGTGAACGATCTGAGTTTGAGAGCAAAGCAAATAGAAACAGGTTGATTTTTGTGTAAAGGTGCTGAAAATGGACTCTAAATATACAAGAAAGTTACGGGCCTTTGTAGCTACAATACTTACTAATTTAGTGTGGGAATCACTTGACCAAGACATTTAAGAAATTTTTAACTCTATTTATTGAAATAGATGTGACATGCCATATTCTTTATTAAAATATTAGTCAATGAATTTATTTTCTGTAATCAATAAAAATTACCTTTTCAGAAATTACCATTCTCTCCACCATTCATCTCCCGTACCTCATGCCGTATCAGGTAAAATTAATAAATAAAATTAGATTTTTTTGTTCCAACTTCTGTACTGATGATCAATCCAATTCATTGCATATTAATATTTCAATTTAATTATACGATTTCTTTTTTAGCATTAAGTTTAGTAATTGCAATTCCAATTCTTGGATCTTCTCTCATGGGATACGGATCAATAAGCGTGATTTATGGCTATATTATGGTCTTTGATTTCTTAAGATCTATAGGGCATTCCAATATTGAAATTATTGTCGAGTCCCAATCAATTCTTCGATATCTTCTCTATACCCCCATGTAAGTATTTTCATTTCTCAAAAGCAAGTACCATGATTTAATGCATTTCAAGGCTTTTAATTTTCATGTACTCTTACAATTTTATTCACCTAAATTTAGTTTAAGTTTCTAAATCGAGCATTAGATGATCTTATGGTTAAAATGGACCGACCTTGAGTAATAAACCCTAATTTGATGTTGATATAAGTACCTTTCTTAATCATCATCATGTTTTTGCCCAATTATATGAAGCTAATTTTGTACATTATTACCCATTTTTATATAGTTAATTATTTTTGTGAGACACATTTTTTTAATGGCATTATTTCACCAATATGGTTAAAATGGTAGCTAGAAAATTAAATGGAAACTATGGAACATCCCAACTACTAACAAACGGAAACTTAAATGATTTTGTTTTCCTCGTATATGTGGTGGATGTGTCTTCATTTCTGAAATTGGTAGTTGGAATACATATAAGGCACAAGACAAATTCATGGTATTGATTATAAAGAAACCTTTTCGTCGATTGCCATGATTAAATCCATCCGGATTATGCTTGCGATTGCTGCATATGATAACTATGAGATTTGGCAAATGGATGTCAAAACGGATTTCCTGAATAGAAACCTTGAAAAGGATGTGTATATGGCACAACCCGGTGGTTTCATTCTTGATGGACAAGCTGATAAGGTAGGCAAGTTGCAGAGGTCCATTTATGGACTCAAGCAAGCTTCAAGGAGTTGGAATATTCATTTCGATGAAGCCGTAAAAGAATTTGGTTTTATCAAGAATGAAGATGAGTCCTGTGTTGACAAGAAAGTGAGTGGGAGCGCAATGGCAATCCTGGTATTGTATGTTGATGACATACTTCTGATCGGGAATGATATACCGAACTTGCAGTTGGTAAAGACTTGGTTATCCAAGTGCTTCTCCATGAAAGACTTAGGAGAAGCAGCTTATATCCTCGAAATAAAAATCTATCATGATAGATCACGTAGGTTGCTTAGCCTAAGTTAGAGTACATACATTGACAAGGTACTGAATAGATTCATTATGGAAGAATCAAGGAAGGAATTTCTTTCGATGTCACATGATGTTTATCTCTCTAAGGATATGTGTCCTAAAATAGAAGATGAGAGAGATAGAATGAAGAGGATCCTATATGCATTAGCAATTAAATCCATCATGTATTCCATGTTGTGTACTCAGATTGATGTCTCATGTGCATTAAGCACTTGTAGTAGATATCAATCAGATCTAGGTGAGCATCACTGGATGGTTGTCAAGAACACTCTTAAGTACCTGAAAATGACTAAGGATATGTTCTTTGTTTATAGAGGGGAAGATGAGCTCACTATAAGAGGATACAGTGATGCTAGTTTCCAAACGGATAAAAATGATTATCGTTCACAATCTGAGTTTGTATTTTGTCTCAATGGGGGTGCAGTGAACTGGAAGAACTCCAAGCAAAGCATTGTAGCAGACTCTACAATAGAGGCTAAGTATATTGCATTTTCCGATGCGGCCAAGGAGGCAGTCTGGATTAAGAAGTTCATCACCAAACTTTTGGTCTCCCCGATTGTTGATCTAATAGATGTCTATTACGACAACACCAGAAGTCCAGACACATACTTAGATGATTCCATCTCATCAGAGAAATAGTTGAAAGGAAAGATGTACAGATCAGTAAAGTGCATACTGATGACAATCTCGCCGATCCACTGACGAAGCCTGTCGCAGCAGAAGCATGAAAAACACTTGAGGTCATTTGGCATTAAATACATGAATGATTGGCTATAGTGCAAATGGGAGATTGTTAGAGTAGGTGCCCTAGAGCCAATCAATTATTGTAGAATTTACTCTTTGTAATAATGTTCATTAATCAATAAAAGGCATTTTATTCTATATCTTGTAAATCATATTGATATGTATTGATATATGTCCTTGGGATGGTAGAACTATGACGAGGATATCAAGTGTTTCAAATTTTGATAGTGAGAACCATATGATCACATATGGTGGCCATTCTAGAAATGTCCGTAGCCTTGGTATTATTCTAATCAAGAACACAGATAATACGATAAGGCTATCATAGTGTTGAACGACCCTGTCGAAAGGAAGTGACTGATCTCACTTATCAAGGTTTTTTGCTAACAACCTGGTGCAACACATGGGTGCTTGCTATAGGTAACTGGACTGATCCACCAGAAGATTTCATATAGATGGTAACCCTAGTATCTATGGAACAAATCCTCTAACAAATGGTGATGCATGTGATCCTTAGACTTGAGATCACTAGAACGTCTTGTGCACCAATTGGTGTAGTTTGACACTAGCATAACATAGTTCTATTTAAAGCTATCAATACAGTAGTAATTGGCTGCATAGAGCAGTGTATCAATACTATGGTGGATCGATAGAGAATTCATCACTCCCGGGTACGAGAGAAGTTATCTCACTACGTGAATCAGTGTATGGCAATAACACTAAAGTTGTGGCCACAGAGGGATTGAGTTGTTACCCAATTCAATTTCTGATTCCAGTCATTAGTCTAGGAACTGAATACAAAGACATCGAGGATAACTGAGGTTGACACTATTTTTGTACCTCGGTCTCGATGAGATAACAGATGATGAAAGGATTTGATTATAGGTAGGTGTTTCGCTGAATCCGAATCTATTAGGTGGTCATGATGTCTTGCTAGAGGTCAATCTTGGTCTATGTGTAGTGAGATGATTGATTGGTGTCAATTACGATACTACTCACTACTAATATGATGAGAAACCTACAGGTCACACACTTAGGAGACAGTTTAAGGACGGTAAATTTTGGAAGGGCATATTCGTCTTTTAGGTGAAAAGGCATATTGGTAATTTTGTTATGTAACTAAATTTATTGAGGTTGTAACATGTGTCCAATTTTATTGTTGGAGTAATTTAGCAAAATTACGAATTTAATTATTGAAGTTAATATTAATATTTAACTAAATAATTAAATAGGGACCTAAAAGCGATTCCACCTAAGTTTGGGTTGTTTCTAAACTTTGGGGGTGGAATGGATATTTTGCATCATTATTTAAATGAAGCAAAAAGTTAGGTTTTCATTCATTCTTTCATTTTGTGTCGTGAGTGATATTGAGAGAAAAAAATTTCTCTCTTCTTCTCTTCACTCCTTCACCCTAAATATCATCCTTAAAGCCAAGAATTGATTCTAGCAAAATCAATCCTTGGTCTCTGACGTACTGTCTCCGTGTGGACGACGTGAGTTCGATTCCATTCTCGAATCGGTAGCAAAATCTAGTATGATCATTTCCTTGTCAAATGAATGAAAAATGTTAAATGATTTTAGTAAATGATGTTATATACTTGTGTTATTAACTCCATAGGAAGCTAATTTCTTGAATCATTTTATGGATATGGGATGTTTAATAATATGTCTTAAAAAAAAAAAAGACAAAACAAACAAAAGTATAGGTTTTGAAACAAACTCATTTCCTAGGCGTGTCTTTTCTAGGTTCTCAATGGCTAAGAGATACTTAGGAAATACCCGGCTAGGGAGGGGTTTTACAATAAACAGCATGCCTGATCTCATCAAAAACCTGATGTTAAAACAAGCAAAAAGCCGTATAGGCCCGATACCCCGTTTTACTCAGTTTTTCACCCGGTAATGGATCTCGATTGTGGGTGAATCGAGGACTATTTTTGGAGTGTTTGCTCGTTTTATCCACATATTTTTGACAGGATCGAGCATGCTATTTACCTAACCTTAGTATTAATTAGACGATAAATAAACCGTTCCAAAATTAGTTCTTGATTCACTCACAATCGA